GAAAAGAGGGAAGGAGGAGGAGAAGAAGAGAGTGGTAAGGGGGGTGTTGCGTTCAGGGTTTGCAGGCCTGCAAACAACATCATGCATACAGCCAGTCAATACTATGAGGCAGAAGATTGTGAAGAACGGAAGGGCAAAGAAAAAGAAGAAGAATAGCAGAAGTAGAAAAGAGGGAATGAGGAGGAGAAGAAGAAGAAGTAGAAGAAGAAGAAGAAGAAGGAGAAGAACGGAAAGATGAGATTCATGACAGAAAATGATGATCTGCAACAGTTTGTCATGTTCACAGTGGAACTCTCTCTCTCTCCCCGCCCTGCGTTTCCAGATGTTGTCGTGTTGGGCATCCTCATTTTGTGCTGGGTACGGGGGTTTGCCGGAGTGGGCCACTGCTCCTCTCACCGTTGATCCGAGTTTTTCTGGCTGCTCCGCAGCCACAGCCTGCTGGTCCTCCCACGGCTCTTGCGGTGCAGGCTGCTGCAGTGGCGGTGGGCGGGGTCTTCGTGCGTAAACCGTTGGTGGTGCTGGTTGCTGCAGTTCCTCTCCGTCTTGCTGCTGAGTTTTTTCCGCATCCTCCATATCATCCCCATCTCGCGGCAAACTTTTTTCTCCTTCTTGCTGCACATTTTTTTCTCCGAGTGCTTCAATATCCACTCCCGCATGCTGCAAACTCCCTTCATGTTCTGCACACACGGCAGCCTCATCTACCTCCATGTTGTCCACCCTTTCATCCTTTTCATCATTGTGCTGCTCCTCATGTTGGCTGACCTGTTTGCTCTGTCTCTCTCTCTCCCTCCGGGTGGGGACAGCAGCACGGCGAGCCGCCTCCTCACACATCCGCCTCTGAACCAAAGCGGCATCCCTATCTGCCATAGCCTTGGCCCGAGCAGCTTCCTCCTCGTCCGCATCAGGCATAGGGTGCGCCAAGAACTCGATATCGGTGTCCAGTCTGTCGATGGCCTCGGAAGGCAGCACCTCTGCCTCCTTCTCTCGCCTCCTAAGCCTCCGACCGACGTACGTAGTGGCTGGCAGGGCCGGCTTGCCCCCCCAACGCGAAATCTGAGTCCTCCCCTGAGCCAGCCTGAGTCTCTCCTCCGTGGATCCAACAAAAACGCAGCTGCATGAGCGGGCTGCCGCATCATCTGCACGAGGTCCTTGACCTTCTTCGTGAGTACGACGTTTGCTAATTTCCTCGCAATGAGAACGTCGAACTCCACGAGGTTGGTGGGAGAAACTCCTTCCCTATCCATCCTCTTCAGGAGGCTGTACACCGGCTCCATAATTGCCACAATTTTCCTCACTATGGCCCACCAACTCTCTGACCTCACAGTGTAGTAGACAAGGTCGGTTTTTTTCTGCAGCTTCTCTCCCGACCATCTCAATGCGCGCCACTTCGCTGCACAACCTCCGTCCACCATCTCATTCAACACTTCCTCCCTGTCCGTTAGCCTCTGCAGCATCTGGTACACCGACCCGAACCGGACCTCTGTTCGGCGCAGCAATGACAACGAGTCATCGATGGACATCATGAGACCGTGTGGCGTGATGGTTCGTGATGAACTTCACGATCGTGTTCGCCGTCTTCACTGTGTCCTTCACCCAAGGCAAACTGCTGAGGTCCTTCAACAACAGACTGCAGCAATGCGCTCCGCATGGCACCCACGGTATCCTTGCAACGTCTCTGTCGGTCCGCCTCTCCAAGATCTGCGCCGCCTTCTTGTTGACCTCAGCGTTGTCTGTGCAGATCGCGTTGATCCGTTTGAGCCCGATCTCCCGCATCACTTGCTCCCACAACTTCGCCAATGCTGCTGCGTTTTTCTTCCTCCCAGTCATGTAAACTGTGGTCACCAGAACTGCTCCTTTCTCCCCCGCTGCTAGGAAATTCATGACCGACCGGTTCTTGCGATCTGTCGATCCATCTGTGATGAATGTGCAGCCTGTTTTGTCCCAACAAGCAGTGAAGGGGTTAATTGACTTTTGGACCTTCAGGACGATGGTAGTCCAACATGACAGTCCGCATATGCTTGTAGGCAACTTCACCTTCGACTTTGCATTGGCAACCTCCAAGTAAGCATCGTGAAGAGCCTGCGTGGTGTCGAAGTTCAAGAAGTTGAAAGCAATTCCAGCCCTGAACATTGCTTCCGCCCACGCAATGTCCAACTTTTTTTGTGCGTCGTTGTCAATCCACTTTCTTATTGTGGTTTGCGTCTTTGCCAGCACAACACGGGCCGCCCCTCCACCGGTGCCATCATCACCCTTCACTGCAGCTTCATCATCTGTTGTTGTGATCGGTGCAGCAAATTGTGGAACAGACCGCCCTCGAACAAGCGGAGGCACCGGCCAAGACGATGGATCGTTCGCATCTGATGCATCCTCCGGAGCCTCGTCGCCCCCCTCTGCGCCCCTGGCGAGTCCTCTGAAGTTTTGCAGCAAGTACCGCGTGTTCTTGTCTTTGGGGTTGACCTTGCCTCCCTGAGTCACAAGCTCATCCACAATCTCCCCCGTCCGAAAAGGACACGGTTTGTGCACTCTCAAGAAATGCTCCACTGCCTTTGTTGACGAGCCCCTGAACACCTTGGAACAAAGGCGACACTTCAGCCAATACTCCCCACGTCCTATTGGACTGCCTCCTGTCCCTGTTCGACCCACTTCCAGACTGCATTCTTCTTCAGCAGCTTCTTATGCTCGTTCTCGCCCTTAACTTGAAAGAGATCGGGATCAGTGGCAGGTGTTGCTTCCTTGTTGATGGCCGTCGTTGTTGAATGCGCTGACTTGCTTGATGAAGGCTTGTCGGAAACAGGCTGCAATTGCTCTTTCCCCTTGCCTGCATCGGTGTTGCCTAGCATGTGTCTCGTCCGCCCAGCCCCGCCACTGCCATCACCCGCCATGATGTCTCCCGCGGTGATGTGGGAAAATAAAAAAACGGCTATGGCTAATCGACGAGGACGAGAAGCAGAGGAGGAGGAAGAAGAAGATGACGAAAAAGAGGGAGGAGAAGAGTAGGACGAGGAGGTAGAGGTAGAAAAAAATGACGAAGTACGCAAGAAAGATGAAGCAGCTTCGGGAAAAAATAAAAAAACGGCTATGGCTAATGGAGAACGAGGAGAAGAAGAGGAGGACGACGAGTACGAAGAAAAAGAAAACGACGAAGAAGAGGGGAGAGAAGAAGAGGAGGAGGAGGAGGAGGAGGGAGAAAAAGAAGAAGAACACAAGGGTAGTTAAAGCAGCAACCAAAAAAAAAAAACAAAAAAAAAAACGGCTATGGCTACGGACGAGGAGGAGATGAAGAGGAGGAGGAGGAGGAGGGAGAAGAAGGAGATGACGAAGAAGAGGGAGGAGAAGAGGAGGAGGAGGAGGAGGAGGAAGAAGAAGAAAATGACGAAGAAGAGGGGAGAGAAGAAGAGGAGGAGGAGGAGGAGGAGGAGGAGGGCGAAGAAGAAGAAGAAGAAGAACGCAAGGGTAGTGAAAGCAGCAACGGGAAAAAAAAAAAAAAAAAAAACGGCTATGGCTAACGGACGATGAGGAGATGAAGAGGAGGAGGAGGAGTGAGAAGAAGAAGAAGAAGAAGAAGATGAAGAAGAAGAGGGAGATGAAGAAGAGA